CATTGTATTCTGTTTTTATTTACGATTTACACAACGTGCCAACTTTTCTGGTTTTGGGGTTTGTAAGACCAACGTTGAACTAAATGTTTTCAAATCTAAAGCTGCTTGTTGAAACTACATTTGTGATGACAACAGTGTGGGATTTTTTTTGGCAATTTTAATGTTCACCTTTTCATATCTGTAAATAACAAGAGTCAAGACATTTTTAAGACATCTTTATTATCCAACATCTTGAAKTTCTGCAACTACTGCACATTTGTAAAACCAGGAACAWTAATCCAAACAGTCCCACACGTCCACACTGTAGGTCAACAGTGTGGAGAATATACTGTAATCTTGTCAGAGGCTGGTGTGACAATAAACAGGAAGGGGTGTAAGGAAAGGTAAGTACATTGATGGTAGAGGGTAAATAAATTAACTTAATAAACAAGACAGGTAAAGTACTTTTTTAGCTGTTTGGTTTTTCCTAGCAGAGTATATTTTAACTACGTTTCCACAGCAGGAAGTTTTTTATTTGTTGTTTATTGTTAAACTGAAGTCATACTGTAATGTTTTAGACAACTTATGCTGATGTATGAATATTTTATGAATAATTTACTCATGTAGGTTATTCGATTTATTCCTAAGCATTACACCATGCATCTGTCCAAGAGACTTCTTAATAGTGTAAGAAAAATACGTATTCAATAAACTGAAGTCGATATTAAAACCCTCGTTGTTAAATAAAATGATTTGTAGAAGGAATCAAACCATACAACACCAGAATTCTGGAACTGAGTGAGGTTTATTGTCACCGAATCTGACAGGAAACCACACTGGCGAAAAACCAGGAAGTTAATCAATTTATACATGTTCTTCAATGCCTGCGTTCGCCCCCTACTGACCTACAGCTGAATCACAGGCATTCAGACAAAATTCTCATCTAATGTTCTCATAACGTTTAATTATGTGTTGTCACAGATATTTCGAACATGTAACTAATCTATTATCAGTCAAAACATAATTGATTAAACACTGTCAACATTATAAAAAGGAAAACCTAAGAATATAGTGTTGTGCTTCTAACATCAGTACTAACCTATAATAACTTCAAATTTCTTCAATAGATAGATTAAGATGGAATAGATTTCTTTTAATTCCCTCCTCAGCATAGACTTCTTCATTGTTGGACTAAGTTTTTATAGTGTGACAGGACCTTGAGGAATCTCTGTTAATAATCAGTCCTGCAGGGTAAACATTTGAACTTAATCACAAAAGGTGTTTATATTTTGTCTTTTGTGCGTTTGCTTATTTTAAGATTTATCTGTTGTGAGCATGTGCACAAAAATGTAAAATCCTGATTTGGCAAACTTCTTCTGTTTGCATTATAATAAAAACAATTTTGAATGGAGCTGCTGTTTGCCTTCCTGAAACCACTTTCAGAATCTGAATTTTTGTGGCTTTTCTGCGTGCAGATCCAGATGACCAGCTGAAGCTGACAGAAGACACGCGGCAGCTGGGGCTGGTGGTCTGCAGAGGGACCTCCGTAGTCCTGATCTGTCCTCAGGACGGCATGGAGGCCATACCAAACCCGTTCATCCAGCAGCAAGACGGATAACCTACATGCTGCTAAATGTCACACATTTGATTTTCTTTTGTCAGTTTTATTTTTGTTTAAACCATTACAGTACACATGTTTCAAACAAAAATTAAGAGTTTTAAGTTAATCATCAGCAAAATAATGCTCAAATGCACTTCAGTTTCATTTCTYTGCCATGTGCAAACTTTGAAGAACAATTTTCTTTTACGATGAGAGGTAAACTTTTTACTGTTCTTTGTTTTTTATAAGAAAATAAAATAGAAAATTTGTGTTCTGAGTATCACTTGTATTTGTTCTTTATTAGTTTGGGTGCAGCTCGGAGTGCTGTTTAAAGTTGTCAAAAGAAAAAAAAAGCAAAGTGACCGCAAGCTCCTGATGAGCATCTGTCGTCCCATTTGAGCAGCCACTCAGTGTCGACGTCCTGCTGAACTCTCTCCCCTCTGCAGCAACAGAAGAAGCGTTAAAAGGAATAAAGGGAGTGTCTGTTTGAAAATAAGCCACACAGGCTTGTCTGCAGACTCACAAAGACACATTTGTGACACTAACTCCTTTAAGTCGGGGTGTGGGGAGGATTGTGGAACTTCGCTTGTTTATCTTTGTTCTTTTGGATTATGAAAGAATTGTCTGCAGATTGTGGAATTAGACCAACACTRGGAAGAAGTTTCATAAATTTAAAGCTGGTTTCAAGCATGGAGACGGAGCAGTGAGTTATGAAAGTGGCTGGAGTTGTTAGAAAGAAGCTGTCCTGGTGAAAGGACTGATGCTTTGTCAGGTGTGTGTTGTAAAAGGTGGAAGAAAAAGGCCAAATTCCAGGAGCCTTGGCCCCTCCCCTGCTGCTCACTGACTGTCAATGGAGCACAAGCAGTCTTTGAGAAGGAGCCCAGAGCTCCACAGATCAGYATGCTGCCTTTTTATGCCACTCTTTAAATCCTCATTTTATTAAAGCAATTTTGTTTAGAGGAAATTGAACGTTTTTTTTTTTTCAGAAACTATGGAGCCTTTCTGGTGACAGGAGAAACGCCCGGGTGTAACCAAAGGGATCAGGCGCGGATGGAACGGGAGCTGGACGTGGGATTTCTGAGGCTAAACCTCTTTGGGTAAACAGAAGGAATGAGTTACCTGCGGGACGGACACGACACGCCCCGCGCTCAGGTGCAACAAATAGAGGACCTCTTGGCCCCCGCTGGCCCCAGCTTTCCAGCCGTCCTTCTGCTCTCATGTGCGCCTGGAAGCGCGCGCTCTCTTCGGTGTCAACTTTCAGAGTAATGAGAGAAGAAAGAGGTGAGTGCGGCTGCTTTGGGGGCTCTGAAGAAAGCCTGTATTGTTGAAGCTCGTGGAGGAACAGCCTCAAGTGGTTTTGCGATYGAGGAGAACATTTGGTGCCTTTTTACGCACCTTTTACGCACATCCAAACGCGTCATTATGCGCTCCTGAGCTAATGTCCTGTTTTTTCCCCATGCTTTTCATGGTTTAAATGTTTTGTTTTCTAACCACACGCGACCTATAAAAATATAACTGTTAAATTTTTTATTTATTTATTTCGGAATACATCATAATGTTGATATAATTTATTTTTTTAAGAGTTAAAAATTAAAACAGTATGTTTTATCCAATCCACAGTATTTAAGCACATTTTACACTGTGTGTAGTGTGCAGTATAATCCACAATATAGTGCACCGTTTATTGTAATCTTTCACAGCAAACTTTTACCTTTAGAATTTTACTTGAAACCAACAGTAAATTGAAGTTCTCAACTTTATTCATTCAACATATTAAAAACAAAACAAATCACGTTTTCTAAAAAAAACATGCTGAGAAAGTAATTGCTATAGTAGCACAGTTTGTATATTTTACTGATAAAGCTTGAATAAGAATAAAATATTTATTTAAAAGAATTGAATAAGTTTAGATTTGGATTCTTTTGTTCAAAAACCTCAGTTTACTTATCACTTTGTGTAATTAGGTTTTTTAAATGCTATTTTGTTCAAATTTTGTGAAATCCCTTCATTTTTTTAATAAGGAAGTGATGTGGTTGAAACATGAAAGATCCAGGAGYCCATCGGGAAGAGAAACCTAAGGATGAACTGATGAGTGAATGTTTCAGGCAGCAGAAATCTTAATGTGGACAAAGAGGAACAAGAAGAACCAGGATGTAAAAAATAAGCCCCTGCCGACCGAGGAAGTTACTGAGGTCAACAAATCCTACCAGCGGCTGCGGAAGGCTGGACTGAAGGAGACACTGATTATGGCAGCACAGGAGCAATCAAGTGACAGAACCAAGATCCAGGCTTGTAGCAGTCCAGCATATGAAAGCAGGAAAATGCAGGCAGGCGTAACRTTAGAATGCCATGAACAAGTAGGAKAATGAACAGGAACATCTSTGCTGGGCATGAACTGGGAATTCTGCAGTCAAAGTGGGAGATGCCACCATGAGTGGGGGAGAATAACAGGTCACGGGTGAAAAGATGTAACAATCTGAGCGACTGTAACATCAGGAGGATAAAAAAAAAACATTTAGGAATATTTACTAAGAATCCAGCAACATCCTCTGAGATCTCTGTCCAGAAGAGCTCAGAGACAGTAGCTACTGTACAGAACCCTGCAGTTCAAAGAAAACCAAAGTCTTATTCTTTAGGACAAGTGTTAATGTATTAGTGAATCTTTTAAAGTGTTAAGTGTTCTTGGACATAGGCTTCATACCATCCATGCATTATCTTTTACCTGCTTCTTCCTTTCAGGGTCACTGGAGGCCATATCCAGCAGTCACAGTGCGAGGGGCGGGGTACACCCTGGACAGGTCTCAAGTCCATCAGGGACACATAGAGACAAATGAGACAATCATTCACTCTCTCACTCACACCTGTAGGGACAATTTAGAGTTACCAATTAACCTAAAAGTCATGTTTTTGGTCTGTGGGAGGAAACCAGAGYACCTGGAGAAAACCCACACATGCACGGAGAGAACACGCCAACTGAAAGGTCAGGAATTAAAGTTAATCTGGAAACCTTCTTGCTGAGAGGCATCAGCTCTACAAACAGCCACAGTTCTGCCAGCTCCATCTCGTCATGGACATTATTAGTGTTACATAAAAGCATTCCTGCTGTGAGAAGTGTTACAGATGAAAGTTTCCAAAGAAAGGCAATCAAAATATATTTAGTGCACAAAGTAAGGGGATTAGTGTTTCGAAGRCGATTTCTTTTTTGTAACAATGTTTCTTGATAATCAGTCGTATTGTGGACACCTGATTGGCTGCACCTAGAGGTACCAGAAGCTCACAATAATAACAGCAAAATAAACTGTTTGGCAGAGAAGACTTTGCTCGTTTTTCATGTGCGCAACCCACACACTCAGCTCTACTGCTCATCCCGTAGATGCATGTTCCTTACAAATGTGGCGCCATTTAAAAGGGAAATTATCAGACTTTCCAACAATATAAAATTTATTACCAAGAAGCATTGTTAAAATGAAGAAATAATTTACTAAACACAACTTTCCTTACCTTTTGTGCCAGTTTATATAGTGCTATGCATCTTTCATAAAGTTCTCTGATTCCATTTGTATCTAAACCAGTCCTGGATCTATGTGTGGGTCAGGTTTTGGGATTTGGAGGCCAGTTGAATGTGAGCTGTGAGGTCGGCGCTGAGATTCCAACATGGACGTCAAGAAGGACGGAGGAGAAGGCTCGTGGTCGCCGTCAGGGATGCCCTCTGCCCGTCCCAGCCCCAACTGCTATAAGGCTATCGTCATCACCTGCATCTTCCTCTTCCTCATCATCGGCATCTTTATAGGCCTCTCTGTAGGTGAGTCAACACCCTGGTACGCATCAGTTAATCGTTTCGCATCTTCTCCAAGTGAACCAGCTTCTGTTTTTGTGTGATCTGTTAGCGTACCTGGTGCCGGAGCCTCAACATTTTTTGGAGACGGTRGAGCTTAAAGGTCTGAAGTACGACCCGGCTCTGCAGGATGAGAACTCTGGCTTCTCCGTACTTCTTACAGCAACTTTAAAGTCCAAGGTGAGTTGGATTTAAATCAAAGGGAAAATCCATATTTTCATTTAAAAGGTGCTCAGTTGTCACTTATCCTGTTCTTCTAGATTAAAGACATCTTCATGGCCTCCTCTGCATCAGATAACTTTGAYGATTGCAACATTGTTTCGTATAGGTGAGTGAAAACTGCACTCTGTTCACCATCAAAAGCATCTAAACATAAAATGTTTTGGGTTTATTTTTCTTCATCTTCCCAGTAATAATGACGGTGATGTGATGGCAACATTAAGACTGGTCTTCAAGGTGTCCAAACTCCAGCAGTATTCAGAAAACTTTGTCCAAGACCTGCTGAGAACCGGGTTCAACTCAGCGATGCACGGAAAACGTCTAAATGTGCCRGGGTTTGGACAGATCGGTGCTATCATCATGTTAGGTTAGTATCGTCGTGAGCCGAACATCTGAGGTACTGGACGAGTGTGGGGAACACAATAAGGACCATTTGTTGTCTCGTGGCTTTAACTGCGTCGCTAAAATTATGTTTTTATGCTCCTTTTTTTTGCAGGAGCCACCAGGAAGTCCTTTTATGTCATTGGAGATGAGATGCTAGGTGAGTCAGCTCTCGTGTGTAAGAAATATGTTGCATTGGATTATTTTGTGGTAAAAACTGTGAAATAACAGTGAAAACATTTAATGTTTTACGCTCACGCTCCTTTGTTAGTTACATTAGTATTAAGTCTTAAACCAACCTAAAGCTTTGGTTGTATTTAAAGAATACAGRGTAGTGTCCTTGATTTGTAATAGTGCTCCTCTTTTGGCTAACATGGTTCATTTTTATGAAAACCTTCTTTTTTCATTTATACATTTAATTCCTATGATTTATTAACTTCTTCAGCACCAGTGGGTTTCCTTGAAGTTTGTGCTTGAAAAAACATGTTGGAATGTAACTGAGCGTGTCTCMGCTTTGTTTTGATACMAAGATTATTTAAAGTAGAGTTTGTAAATGATAACACTTGGGAGACTTTATCAGAAGTGTAAATATCACAGCAGCTGCTATTGTTTCAGAGATAGTGAGAATGGAATAGCCTGGTTTGTCAGCATTATGCATAACTTTTTTTAAAATAATATCACGAATAAGGGTAATTTTTTTTAAATACAATAAATTCACTTGTGGACAATAACTGTGCAGAGAGTTGTGCTGTTAAAGTAAACTAGAGCAAAGGTTCAGAAGTTTTAGTGAAGAAATAACTCGTCATTTTGTCAATCTGCACAGGATGGACCATTTTGGTTCCATTAATAAATGTTAAGAATAGTTAACTTTTGCAAATGAAAACCATCTTTTTTATTACGTGCCTGAAAAAACTTGTTTTTTAAACAATTATTTTAATTACCCATACATTTGTTTTTCACCCTATTCGTATAAAATAGTGAAAA